TCTGCTCAATGTCTCCGCTTAGCAGTAGCTTTTGTCGTCGCGCGTCACATACGGCACGCAAACGGTATGTATAGCGCTGATGAGCGCCGATGGAATTCAGCAGCGGATAGAAATACCGCTCCGCGGGCAGCCATGTAAATGGCTCCATCTGGTGCCCTTCCGACCCGTTTGTGCGGCGCCTCCTGCCTCTCCGCGGGCAGCGGATGGGCAGCAGGCGCTTAGCTTCCTCTCTAGCAAAGAGTACTAGACCCTGGCACCGCGTTGAGGTGGCCGGCTGAGCCAGGGGCCAACATTCATCACAAATGGAATTGTTCTCTTGCTGTTGTCGTATGATGTCGCAATAACGAGTAAGTAGCGCAAGAGCCGTCCGCACAAAAGTGGCGATTATGCCGTCGCAAACGGGCCGTCGTGCAGTCTGGGGCAGTCCCAAACAGTCGCAGTCCATATTCCCAGCGACGAGGGCATTCCCGCAGTGGATTAAGCGGAGTCTCCCGTGGTCCGTCGGGGATCAGCAGCCCGTGGCGTCTGTGACGCGGCGGTGGCGGAAGTGCCTGGTCCATCTCGAGCGCCCGCGTTTGTGCTTCCTGCGTGTGTTTCTTGCCGGCATGCTTGGATCTTCGGTGGCAACCTGCGCGCGAGGCGCCTGTTAAAAAGACGGTGGAGCCATCGCGGCATCCGCATGTGAGGCTCTCTCAAACCATTGGAACGCCAGGCTGAGCACGTCGGGCTTGTGCCCTCATATTGTGGACGGAAGAGTGCGCTCTGCCGCAGGTTGGGCAGGAGGACGTCAACCCGCCGCTCGCTTGCCGGCAAGGAGTCGCGACGCTCACGTCGGGAAGAAGCTCCGGGAGAGGCGGGCCATTCTCCTCAGTGTGAGAGAGCGGCACCACTGACACAGAGGGCCGCTTGTGATCCGCAGGGCGTGCGCAGGCCTGTCGAAGAGAGGGCAGGTGTCGCATCGCGCCTGCGCGCGGTGCCGCCACTCGGGGCGCGATTTCCGGGCCAACACCAGGAATAGAGCCCTCGCCACACCGAGAAACGCCTGTCACGCGGTGTGCGCGCCTTCCTTTTCCTCCTGGGCATCCTTCAAGTTCCGTCGCCTGACTGCAGTGAGGAAGCCCACGTGCCAGGCATTGACGCAGTCCTGCGGAAGAGATCGTGGCATGACGGCATCAGCGTCCGCTGTCACGCTGCGTGGGATCCCGCAGTGTCATGGGGAAAATGTGGAGAAAACTGCGCGACCTCGATCCACCTGTGAAAGCAGCACGGTACAAATAGCCTCGGTGAATTCGTCGTGCACCGCCAGCGGGCCAAGGCATAGCGCCTCCATCGCCGAGAGGGTATCTGCGGCAGCAGGAGCTCGTGTGGGCGATGGGGACAATGCTGCTGCCAGCGGCTGCGCGGTGAGGCCCCACAGGGAGCTCGGCTGTCCGGGGAATCGAGTGGCAGCGCGGCGGATCCAGACACAAGATCCCAGAGAGGCTCGGGCCGCTTCAACGGTCAATCGTCTGACACCGTCCAGGGCGTCCCTGGCGTGCCGTGGCTGGAAGACGCCAAACCCGTTGCGGCTCACAGCGCCCCAGACAACAATGCGGTGCTCAGCATGAGGAGCGTGGATGCGGTGCGGGGAGATCTCCATGTGGCGGCGGACGCGTCGCAGTCCGTTGAGGACGGCATCTCCCGGCAGAGAAATGGTCGTCGCTGCCTTCCAATGTATTGACGACGGCATGGCTTCCAAGCAGATTGCGCCACGCACGTCTTCCATATACCGGAGACGCGTGAGGTGTTCGTGCTGTGTGGGTGCGCGGAACCCAATGATCCTCCGCAGCGGTGCTGGACTGGCGGCCAGGTGGACAGAAGCATCCTTCGATGATGCGCGTGGGCCGAGCGATGCTGTGCAGCTGTCGCCGTGCCGCCCTCCCAGGCTGTGGAGGTGAGTGAGAGCTGGACACGGTGCGACTGCCTCGCCGCTGTGGTGCAACGCACTGTGGACGCATCCAACCAGACAGGATCGCATGGTGCGCTGGGACGCACCAGCCTCTGCGCCCAGCCGCGGCTGATGGCGGCGTGGACGATCTACTTTGGTGTCTGTGTAATGAATTTTCCCGTTCTTTACATTGTGTTACGGGCCGATGGTGCTTTGGCGTTTTTTGATTTGGTAGGAGACTTGCGTTTCCTAAGAAGCCGTTGCAAGTGTTCAGCGTCGTTGTGAATAACAGATGTGCACCTGTCCCCGTGAAGGCAACAACAACGACCGCGGACGACAGCAGGAGGCACTGCGGCTTTATTTGGAAGAGTGTTTGAATTGTGGTTGTTGGGTCTTTTGTGGGGAAGGTGGGAGGCTGAGTGCATTAGGACTGAATTCATTTGTGTGGCTGCGCTCCGTTGACTTGCGGCCAGTCGCGGCACTCTTTTGGGGTTTGGCTGCCCGTCTCTTTTGTTTAATTCCCACCGCAGCACGTGGGTAACACTGATCCGAGGAACATTTGTTTGACCGCGTGTGAGCTGCTGCCGTGCGTGGTGAATGGAATATGTGATTGTGTGGGGAGTTGCATTGGAGTGACGAACACTTCTGTTTGGCGTGTCGCGGTGTGTCGGAATGGTGTTCGGATGACATGTGGAGGGTGTTGTTTGTAACTTGTGTGTCTTCTCTGGTGGAGCCGACATGTGTGCGGGATTGTGGCATTGCTGGCTGACAGCTCCGCGGCACTTTTCAGCATTCTTGGATGTGCTGAGGAATGACGGCTGGCGACCAGCGTGTTGGTGCTGCTGGTGGGAATAAGTGCATCGGGAATAGGCCGTTTTCTCTTTTCCGTGCTGGAGCCGATGGACTGGCACGAGGGCACCGGCTGCAGGCTGCCTGCCAGCACGTGTGAGCAGCGGATCCATGCAAACACCGACGCTCATCGCAAGAGCGTGTGCGATCACGGTGGCCTTTGTGGCGTGCTTTTATGGACGTCAGCCCACCGAAGAATGTGTAAAGCAAACGGCTGACTGCACGCGAGGAGAATAAGTGCGTGCACTGTGCCGTGTTTCAGCGTTGATGGCAGAGCGACAGGAGGCCCGTGCTGGCAACTGAGATCTTTGCGTCGCAAGGGATGTCGGTGTTGATTTTGGATCGTCGAGGGTGAAGTGATTTTGCTCTGCCCGTGTGTTTGGCCACTCCGGCAGAGGGCGGAGACAAAAGGGAGGGATGCAGGCGCTGCGTGTGTGTGTGTGCAGGTGCCATGCAACAACGTCACAACAAACATGCTGCGACTCGGTGACCCTCACATCGTTGTGGTCCTCACTCACAGCCCAGGCACGGCCCACACCGATGCACTTAGTGGACGGAGTGAGGCATCTTTCGAGGCGCTGCAGGGAGCAGGATGTGTTGACGCAGCCACGACGTGCATGGAGTGTCACGATGGCACAGTCAGCAATGGCTGGTGGAATATTTACTTCTCGGAGGCAACATAGAGAGAGAGGGCTGCTGGCGTCGTTGCTGCCTCTTGTGGCCTCTCATGCCGATTATTGTCTGTCCGCTGTTCATGTTGGTGTGCCTCCACTAGTGACGTCGTCTGCAGGCATTTCGCAGCACCAGTGAGACACGCATCACGACGCATGCTTTGGCTGTGGGTGTGGTGTCGTGAGTACAGTCGACATTATTCTGCCTGACTCCTTTTCACTGCCTTGCGACAAATAGATGCGTCTCCGCCCGAGTCATTCACTGCAGCTCCGTGTGTTGTACTGCCAGCACAAGACTCTCTTGTTGTCTGACGCCTGGCTGACAGTCCAACACCACTGCGTTGGGACATGCAAGGATGTGAACTGCCGCTCACGGTGTTGGGCACCGCTGTTTGGATGCAGCGGCCACACGAGCGGATGTATTGTGGCACAATCAAATGCATGAAATACGCGGAGTCACAGCGGCTGCAGTAATATCAACGGTGTGGCACCACGGAGTATGTGAGGGGGTGATGCATGATGAATCACAGTGGGCGGCATGCGAGGGAAGCGCACCGCGACAGAGCGTCATCCCGCCCTCATCCTGCAGGGGAATGTACACCCACAAAATATATGGACGAGACACCACCAAACACACATGCCCTTCCATGCAGCAATAAATAGGAGCGAAGGTGCGTTCTGGTGCGTGGGAGTCCACTCATATATTTTATTCCCACCGCAATAAACGGTGAGGAATCAGGTGCCACAGCAACGAAAGGAAAAACAAATATCTATTGCAGCACTTTACCGGTGAAAGGCAGGAACAACACACACCGAATTGTTGGCTGCACCAACACAAGAAACATTCACAGGAGGGAAAAACATATAATTGTGCACCCTGCAGGAATCCCCAACACACGACCCAGGCATGAAGGTTTGCCCTCCGCAAAAACAAGAACATATGCAGACATCTGCCAACATTCAAACAGAAACACAAATAAACGGTTGCTTGCATTATTCCATTCCCTGCGCTTGTTTTTTTGCGTGTGCTGCTGCGATAGTGGCTACGTTTGTATGAAGTGGTGTGCGCTGGATATGAACGAAGGCCAAAGGCAACCGAACTTTTTTTGTGATGAATATTGGCTGCACTTCCCGTGGACCAACAATCCACGTGGTGTGCGGGGATCTCTTTAATTGTTCCTTTGCTTTTGTGTTGTTGTGTGCGCTGCACCTCCTCTTGTGTGTGTGCGTATTCTCCGTGAGGAGTGCCGACACGACGGACCGCTCCCGCCGTGTGTGCATGCGGTGGAGCCTTGTGTTCCGCTCCTGTTTGCTTCTCCCTCTTCCATCTGTGTGTTGGTGTTGCGGCAGGGCTGTGTGTGTGTGTGCCTGTCGCCGTGGGTTTGAGTGTGTGTCGTGCGTGGTGTGCGGCGTACGGTGCATGCCTGGCTGCTGCCCTCTCCTCGTGTAGTGTGCCCTCTGTGTGTGTCTGCTGCACCTCTCGTCTCCCCTGTTGCTCTCCATGTCCCTCACTGTGCATATCAGCTCCACACCACTGAACGACCACACTCACGATGATGACGTGCCGTCTGCTGTGCGCCCTGTTGGTGCTCGCCCTGTGCTGCTGCACGTCCGTGACAACTTTGGATGTCACGGGAAAAGGTGGTCCCAGTCCACCGCTCACGCAACCACAGGGGCAGGGTCCGGCGATCAATTGTTCAATTTCAAATACCTATACAAACCTGGAACCGGGCACTCCCGCAGCGCAACATCAAACAGTTAAGGCCGACAAGGGGGACGCAGTAGGTGGGCCTTCCGCTGCGCAAGATGAAAGTGAGGGGAGGTCGTCAGGCGTAAAAAAAGAGAATACTGGTGTTCAAGCCGCAGGTGGTGATGCTCTTTTTGGAAAGAAGGGTGACGGCGAAGAAACTCCAGGAAGAAATGAATTTGGGGGTTCTCAAGAAGAAAATAAAAACAAAGTCGAAGAAGTAAACGAATCACAAGAAATACAAGATATGCGACGGAAAGAAAATCAACGGGTCCAAGCAACGCAACAAGTACAACAGCAACAAAATCCGCAACTACCATCCGTTGAAAGCTATGGTGGCTCTCCTGGTGGTGTTAATGAATCTTTGGGGTCTTTTTCTCCTGGCGGTGCTTCCTCATCCCGCAGTGGTGGCGAAAAAGGACACACAGGCAGTACTTCAACCACTACAGTTGAGAAAATCTCAAAAGAAGATACGGTGCCAGAAGAAATACAAAGCGAAAACGCCCAGCCACACAACGCAAAGGCAGCTGATGCACTCAAAAAGGGACCGCAACACTACAGTTCTGTTCCAACAACAAGGGCTCAAAATGACAACGACGTCGCCACGTCGACTGCCGACGATTTACTTTCTTGGGGAAAGCAAATAACGATAAAAGGAGATTTAGAAGCTTCTCAAACAGAAGAATTATCAACTGATCCAAATAAAAAATTAAAAGAAGGTGGAAATTCTCCACCGGAATCATCACAATCAGCAGCGCCAGAAACCACAACTCAGCAAGAAGTATTAACTTCAGTAAAAGAGCTGACGGTGAGCAAGAGCACGAGTGCATCCGCGAATTTACCTGATGCGCCCAAAGGAAGTAACGGAGTTCCTGCATCCACAGCCAATAAAATACAGAGTACATCAACTCGCAGTCAAGAAGCAGCATCTACTCTGTCTTCAAATGGAATTTCTTCAATTCAGGAGGAAACATCCACTGGAAACAATACTACTGAGAATGTTCAACTACCCGACACCGCAGAAACTGAAAAAAGCCAAATTAGAGATACGGCGAAGGATGGCAACAGTGACTGCAGCCTCGCGGCTCCTCCAGCGGGAGAGTCAGACGCTGCCACAACCACAACCCCGAACAATCATGATGCGCGTAGCCTCAACAACAATGGCAACAATACATTCACAGAAGAAGTGGATCAGAAGGAAGCAGCAATAAAACCCAAAAGCGCACCAGACGGCACTGACACCGCAGCAGCCAACAGTGAAGCATCCACAGCAGCCATAACCATCTCCACTAACACAACAAACAAAACAACCACCGTCGACAGTGACGGCAGCACCGCGGTCTCCCACACCACCTCCCCTCTTTTGCTTCTTCTTGTTGTTGCGTGTGCGGCTGCTGCTGCGGTGGTGGCCGCGTGAGAGCCGTGCGCCGCCCGCACACACACTCGTCCTTCTCTCTCTCTGTGTGTGTCCCCTTGCATGGACTCTCGCCCTCACCTCACCCCACGAGGCACACACAATAATGTGCCCATTGTATATATGCATGCACACCCATGCAGGCCCGTTGGTGCTCTCTTTTGCACGACACGCACCGCTGCCGTCCTGCCTGGCTGCATGGGCGGAGCACCGTAACTGTTTCTGTTTTGTTTCCATTGCATTGAGTGGGCGACCTCTCTCTCTCTCCCTCTGTGTGTGTGTTTTGCTTTACGGGAGTAATGAGAGTGTGTGTGCGCTGGTCGTCCCACGCTTCGGCTTTTTGTTTTGTTTTCCTTTTTGATTTTGTGGTTGAGTGCACCCATTCCGCGGCTGCGTGTGTGTGTGATGATATGAGTAATTTGCGTGTGTGCTATCTGCCTCTCTCTGCCGTTGCTTTCTTCAGACTCTCTTGTGGCGCACAGCTGCTCCGCAAGTATAGGCGCTGCCAAACACACAAGCACATGCACACACATGCCGTGTCGCTTACGCTGTAGAGCGGTGTGAACGCTGAGGACTCACGTACGTACAAGATTTTTCTTTGGCCTTGTGAGGAGGGATGACGGAACACCGCAATTTGTTTTGTTTCCGTGCTAAGGGCATGATTTTCTTGTTCTGCAGCAGTTGGTTGACGTGTTGTGTTGTTAAGGGTGTCTGGGACGACTGCGCATGGATTCGTGCCCTGCAGCTGCACGGTTAGACGTGTTCCTCTCGCCGTTCATACAGCGACGAAGGATTCTCCGGCCGTGCGGGGCGATGTGCGGTGGAGGGTGCGAGGAGAGAAAACAGTAAAACGACTGGCGGCAGCGTGTGTGGGCGTTGCTCTGTGTGCGCTGACGCGTGACGAATAATGACGCACTCTCTGTCACCCACCGTGGCTTTTACTTCTGGTGGTAACAGTCTCTGTGTGCTCCCGGTGCACTGTTCTTCCATCTCCCGTTCCGTGTGTCTGTGTGCGTGAGTTGTTGTTGTTGGGAGTGGCTGCGGCGGGGATGATGATGCCACTCACTGTGGATGGGCGGCGGTGTTCACTGTTTCACTTCTTTTTCTTAACTTTTCTCTCTTACCCACACACTAGGAAAGCAAGCAAGCAAGCGCTACTCGCTACTGTGAAATTCGAAGGCACTGAAAGGACCAACAACACACACACACATATTTATATGCTCTCACGTGTTGCTGCAGTCAAGGCACCCCGCACACACAACCGTTGCCGCGTGACCGGATCCAGCGGAAGGAGGAGGGAAGGAAGAGAGAGTGAGCCGCGGAGGCCCAACATGTCCCGGCGTGTGTTTGCTTCCGCGGTGCTGCTCCTCCTCGTCTTTATGATGTGCTGCGGCAGTGAAGCTGTGATCGCTGATGAGGAGTCAAGGCCAGGAAGGGGATCGGAAACGGAGAAATATTTTGATTGGAGAGATACAAAAGATGGGGAAACAGTGAGTTCGCTTCGTGTTCCCAGTCTTGTTGAGATGAATGGCGAAGTATTTGCCGTTGCCGAGGCGCAGTTGAAGGAAGAAAGCGGCTTTACTGGGATTGCCTCGGAGCTTCTGACGTTAACTGGTCAGGAATCAAAAGAGTTGGTTACATCTCAAGTGAAGACACAAGTACTGGTGGAATGTCCATCCGACAAAAAGAATTGTGTCTCCCATTCAGAAGCTTCGGCTGGTTCTCAGAGTGAGAAGAAAGTACTTGTGAGCCGACCAACAACAGTCGTGCAGGGAAGTGATATTTACATGTTTGCTGGAAGCTACAGTTTTGAAGTTACTGATAAGGCCTCTTCTGAGGCTCAATGGGGACTTTTGCTGGCGAGGGGCAACGTCAATAATGATGCGAGCAGAGGCAACCGAATTTATTGGAGCGAAGCTTACGTTATCCCGTGGATCCATTTTGAAAAACAACACGAGTCATTGACAGGGCTGATTGGCGGCGGTGGATCGGGTGTTCGGATGAAGGACGGTACGCTTGTGTTGCCAGTGGAAGGGACGAAGAAGGAGAAAAAGAAGGGAGACACAGAAGAGGAAGGAAAGACCGTTTCGCTGATCCTATACTCGAAGGATGCTGCGGGTGGAAATCTGTCGAAGGGGACGTCTGCCGATGGTTGCAGTGATCCCTCCGTTGTGGAATGGAAGGACGGAAAACTCATGATGATGACTGCGTGTGATGACGGCCGCCGCAGGGTGTACGAGTCCGCTGACAAGGGGGATTCGTGGACGGAGGCACTCGGGACACTCTCGCGCGTGTGGAGCAGCAAACACAAGGTTGAAAAAGTGAAATTCGCTAGAAGCGGGTTCATCACAGCGAGGATTGAGAACAGGGACGTGATGCTCGTCACTCTGCCGGTGTACGCCAAAAAAGAAGAAAAGGAAAAGGAAAATGTGGAAAAGGGTGAACTCCATCTTTGGCTGACGGACAATACGCACATTGCTGATATCGGGCCGGCATCTGTGGAAGGAGACGATGTTGCCGCCAGCGCCCTGTTGTACAAAAGCGGAGATAATAATGAGTTGATTGCACTGTACGAGAAGAAGAAGGGCGGTGGGGATACATCACTCGGTATGGTCTCTGTGCGTCTGACTGAGAAGCTGCAGCGGGTGAATGATGTGCTGACGACCTGGAAGAAAGTGGACGAACGTGTCTCCCAGCTGTGCGCCACTTTACTTGCTCAGAAGGGTTTCTCAGCTGGCACTGCCTGCGGCGCTGGTAAGATCACGGATGGGCTGGTTGGCTTTTTGTCCGGTAACTTCTCTGATAACACATGGAGGGACGAATACCTCGGGGTGAACGCCACAGTAAAGAACGGTGCAGCAAAGGCAGCAAAGACTTCCGATGGTGTGACCTTCCATGGAGCGTGGGCGGAGTGGCCTGTTGGCAAGCAAGGGGAGAATCAGCTGTACCACTTTGCGAACTACAACTTTACTCTTGTGGCGACGGTGTCCATCGACAAGGTGCCGGAGGAGGGAGATACCCCCATTCCATTGATTGGTGTGAAGCTGAATGATGGAAAGACTGTATTCCTGGGACTGTCGTACAACAACAAAGAGAAGAAATGGATGCTGCAGTGCGGTGGCGGAACGAAGCCAGAGGAGCTCAGCAGCCCTGGGGAACCGGGGACAAAACGCCACGTGGCCATTGTGCTACAGAACGGCAACCAGGGCACCGCGTACGTCGATGGTCAGCGTGTGGGGAATGAGCAATGTGCATTTGGAAATTCGGAATCGCAAGAGATCTCACACTTCTACATTGGAGGCAATGCAGAGAACAAAAAAAGCCGTGGAGTCGTTCCTGTGACGGTGACGAACGTCCTGCTGTACAACCGCCCGTTGGATGAAGCAGTGATTACTGCGCTTAACACGGAAAGCGTTACTATTCCAAAGCTGGATCATGCAAAACCAGAGCCGAGGGGTACTCCGTCCACTCCTGCCGGGCAACAGCCGTCGGAATTGGGGCATTTGGTGGGAAGCAGTAAAGTTGCGAGTGGTGGTGTGGAGGGGGCCGATTCACAGATCAGGGAAGTAAATGCCACGGCACTCAGCAGCAACCTCGTAAATGTGTCGCAAGAAAATAACAACGATGCCAGCAGTATGCGTGGGAGCGGACTGCTGCCATCGCTGCTTCTTCTGTTGGGACTGTGGGGGCTTGCGGCTCAGTGAGGCGTGACTGGCTGCCGCGTGGGACACCTGCGACCTTCCCAGCACGGAATTACTTCCAAGAACTAACTTTTTCCTTACGATAATTTTTTTTTTTCTTTTTTTTTTCTTTTTTTGAAAATGTTTGCTTTGCTTCTGAGCGTTTCTTTGTTTTTGTTTTTAATTTTTTTCTTTTTTTTTCTTTTTTTTACTTTTTTTTCATTTCTTTTATTTTTCACTCCCTCGTCCCTCTTTTTTGCTTTTGGGGGGCAATCACGATGGACGTTTTTTTTTCTTTTCTACTCTTCCCTCTTTAATTGTTTGTTGCTGCGCTCTTCCCGTGAGGGGTGCCGTGTGTTTCCCGCCCAACTGCTCCACTCGCACACCCACCGACACGCCCACGACGACGGCCCTGTGCGCCTCGCCTGCTGCACGCATGAGGCGGGGCCGCGACGAACGGCGCGCTGAGGGAGCCGTGACGTGTGGGCATGCGACGAGGGCCTGTGGGGCGGAGCACACATTTCTTCCCTCTTGTTTTGTTTTCTTTGCGGCCAGGGCTGGCAGACACCAGCAGCGCCACACACACAGCCACACCCTGCCGCCGTGTTTTTTTTATTTTTGCTTGTTCTCTTTTATTTTGTTTTTTTTTGTTTATTTCACGCGCTGGCAGTTCCGTCAGCATTTCTTTCCCTCCTAATGATTTTTTTCTTTTGCTGCGCTCACTCTTCCGATGGAGTGACGCGACTCCCGTCATGTCTGCGTGCTTCTCTCAGTCCCCACACACACGAGTGACTGTGCTCTGCGGGCCGCACTCGCACGCCGATGAAAGGACTGAGGGGAGCAGCAACACGCAGATGACCCCATGAAATATAAACGATGTGCGGACACACGGAGGTCGGGCGGCTGAAAGACATTTAAATATCTAATTTTTAATTTTCTTTTTTGGGCAAAATATACAGACAGTTTGGTGTGGCCACACGGCAAGCAGTTGTTTAAATGTTATTTGTGTGGAACGGTAATGGACGATTTCTTTTTATTTGTAATTATTTTGTGTGATGGGGTTTATATAAGACGAGGGGGAAGTTTTTTTTTTGGATGAATTTTGTGTGAATTGCCACTGCTTGGGCTGCACTGCAGTCATGAGTTTGAGCGGTCTTCTTCTTGTTGCTTCCGCTATGCGTCTTCGCTGTACATTTTTGTGCGTCCCTCCACATACTCTGCTCCCTTTTCTACTTCTTTGCTCTGTTTTTCTGCAGGCACACACAACAACAACACACAAGATGCACATTGCGGTGGATTTGGATGCTTCTTTTGCAGTGCATGCTGGCAGCTGCGTGTGGCTGTTGTCTTCTTCCGTGGCCATGAGGAGGGAGGAGAGGGAGTGCGCAGTCCGAGTCTCTTTTCCTGCGGGTGTGATGCACCGCGTGTGACTGCGTTGAGTTGGGCTCCGTGTCCCATTGAGGGTGGGATGGCTGGAATTTTTGTTGCCGCGTCATGGATGGATGAGGGTCCACTGTCGCGTGTGGCTGGTGTGGTGGGTGCTCGCTCCGTGTGCGTTACGACTGCTGGGAGTCCTGGAGATTTCTCTGGTGATGCGGATGCGGTGGATGTGTCGTGTGCTCCGAGTGACGGCAGCCTGAGCTATCGCGTGAGTGGGTGTGTGGAAGAAGTGTTCTGCTGCCAGTGCCGAGGCTGAGTGTGAGAATTATACTTTCAGTGGCTTTGGTGTGCGCATGCGTGGCAGGAATGGTGAGCTGGGTGCTGTGTGCCATGTGGCCAGTGCTGTGCACACATGTGGCAACTGTGCTGCCAGCTGTGCAACGAAGGAGGAAGGGGCCACCGCTGCCTTCACGATGAATTTGACGACGCATAAATGCGCCGGCCCTTATGAATTGTGGCGGCGTCAATTCCCCCCGATGGAGCCATCCATCTACCTGCACGGAGCAGCGATGCTGACCAGACGGGCATCTGTCAGTCGACTCCACCCCGTGAAGGGAAGGATGACACGAAATCTGGTGGGACAACTGCACCGCAATTTAATGCTGAGCCGTCACGTCAGAACGAGGATTGACGACAGTCTGCGGCGGCTGACGCACCCAACACCGTCGATCCGAGTCCCGCATCCAACACGGCGACCAACACGTCCGAGACGAGGCCTGAGTTTGCCAGCAATCCGAACGAAATGATGGTCCCGAATGCATCCAAGAAGAGGCCTTCCTTTGCCAAAGGCCCGAGAATATTAGTGGCGTCGAATGCATCCGGGATCATGTCTGTCACTTATGGCGGCAGGGAACACGTTGCTGCGGATAACACGGACGAGGTGAATGAGCACGACGCCACCGGACACAAACCTCTCGTTTTAGAAAATGGCGTTGCAGGCAGTGGATTTGTTGCTGAGGGTGATGCGGACGGATTGACTCAACGCAATGCCTCTGGACACGAAAACCCCAATTACGAGAATTCACCGTGCAGTAATCCGGAAACGGTGTGGGTCCCGACGACTGCTTTGCCCTGCGCAACGACGCGAAATTGACACTGCGAGAGTTAACTGTTGACGGCACTGTGCGTGTGTGTGTGTGTTGGGAGTGGCTGCTTCTTTTGGGATTGTGTGGATTTGCGACTCAGCACGGAGGACATGTGCCGCGTTTCCTGCGTGTTTTCTTTCATTATTTACATTTTATTGTTGTTTTCGTTGTTCTCCTGGAATAATGAGCGTCCTTTATTATTTCATGGTCGGTTGCTACACACCGTCATGAGTGACATGTTTCCCCCTCTTTTTGTTTGTTGCCCACACGCGATGCCGGCCTCATTGCTGTGCGTCCCACGGACTGCACGAAAGGAGGAACGGAGAGACAGGCCGGATGCCGCATGAAATGTGAGGGATGTTGTGTGGGCTCATGGAACGATACGTTTTTTAAAGTTTTATTTCTTGGTGCGGGCAATATATGTATGCACAACCACACGATCCTCTTCTGTGCTGCATGGCACATGAAATAAAAGTATTGTCCGATTGATTTTTTTTGTTTTAATTTTACGGGAGTTTTGCCTGACTCTCAACTCTTTTGTTTTTCTTTTTTTGCTGCTGTGTTTTTTTTCTTGCTTGTTTAACTTCTGGTCTGAGGGACGGTGTGCGAGTCCTGCAGTTGTAATGATTCCGTCTGTCTTTTTTGGTGTGCGCTTCTTCTGGCTGCTGCCATTTATTACCATGCGGTGGCTGTCCGTGGTGTAGCTGCTGTCTCTCTCTTTGCTTTCTCATGCTCCTGCGGATCGAATCCAAGTTATTCAACAGCGATAGTTTCGATGATGCGCCGTGTGTTCTGTGTCGTGTTGGCGCTTACACTGCTGTGCTGCTGCTTGTGCGTGTTTGCCGCGGAGGAGGAAGTGGAGGAGGAGGTGCTGCCGGTGGATGCGGTGTGTGCGGGTGACGGTGAAAACGTTGGGCGCTGGCAACTCCGTGGGAGGCCACTGTGGTACAACTGCACGGCTGAAGCTAGCGGTTTGGGAAAGATGATTTGCGGCATGGGCGCTGGAAACTGTGCCCCGGAGGATGTTAAAAAACGTGTTGAAGGGAATGCGAAGGATGGCGTCTTCGAGATCAAATTCCATACGCCCACTCCAGGCCGGGTGAAGAGTTGGTGGGAGAGTAACGTGGAGCCGAAGCCGGCCACCGCTGCAAGTGGTCCGGCCAAACCTGCGGAAGAAAGACCTCCGGTGGATCGAGAGGAGGAGGCTCCTCGTGACACCACCACAATAAGTTCAGGATCTTCTCCCGCTGGCGTTGGGGGTTCCGCTGGTGCCCTTTCTTTGCCACCTACAACTCCGCGTGACGCTGGTGCTAACGCTGCTGCTGGCGCTGCGGGCAAGACGGATCCTTCTCCTCCTGCGACTTTGCAAGCGCAGAATCCCGCTCCCTCTGGTGAACTTCAAGGCGCTGCACATTCTGCTTCTGCTGCATCCAAATCCCCACCAGATCCGGAGCCCACAGAGAGCGGGGAACACTCCTCCCATGACCCTCCAGCGGGACGACAGGAAGAGACTGTTGATGCGCCACCGACTCGGTTGTCCCAGACCGGCGAGGACGGTGGCGCAGCGGAAGGCGCCGAAGAGGACACCGCCAACACCACCGACGCCGCCACCAGCGAAGGCAATGCTACGGCGGCAGGCATGCCGGCTCCCCTTTCCTCTGCGCCCACAACGAAGGCGTTGGAGAACAGTGCGGGAAATGACGCCTGCTTCCACGACCCCCGTCTGCATACCCGGCTGCTGCTTGTTTTGGCTGCGCTCACGTACGGGACACTGGGCTGAAGAATTGAATGCGTGCTATAATTGCCAGCACTCAATCACAGGAATCCGTGCGTTTCTTTTTGTTTTTACGTAATAAATAATAGAAAATAATGAACATTTGTTTTGCTTCATTTGCTTCAGCTGTGCTGCTGTGTGCTTCATTTTGCTGCTCCCTATACCCGTCACGTTGAAGGAATCCCAGACACACTCATATGCACGACACGTCCAGTACTGTTTGCGTGGACGCATGTCTGAGGATGGGTGCATGCACACTGGATCCATTTGTTGCGGCTTCTTTTTTTTCGTGTTCTTATATTTTTAATTTCCTTCTTCTTGCTTGCTGTTCTTTTTTCTTTTAGCTTGCCGCGGGACGTTGTGTGTGTTCTTTAATGATTTAAATTTCTTAATTTTTTCTTTTGTTTTTTTCTTTCATCCCTCTTTTTTGCTTTTGGGGGCAATCACGATGGACGTTTTTTTTTTCTACTCTTCCCTCTTTAATTGTTTGTTGCCGCGCTCTTCCTGCGAGGGGTGCCGTGTGTTTGCCACCCAACTGCTCCACTCGCACACCCACCGACACGCTCATGACGACGGCCCTGTGCGCCTCGCCTGCTGCACGCATGAGGAGGGGCCGCGACGAACGGCGCGCTGAGGGAGCCGTGACGTGTGGGCATGCGACGAGGGCCTGTGGGGCGGAGCACACATTTCTTCCCTCTTGTTTGTTTTCTTTGCGGCCAGGGCTGGCAGACACCCGCAGCGCCACACACACAGCCACACCCTGCCGCCGTGTTTTTCTTTTGTCTTGTTTTGTTTTCTTTTTTTTTTGTGGATGGATGTGTGCCGCCACCGTGCGTGATTGTTGATGTTGGGGCCGTGCCGCATGTATCGCTGCCATCCAGCTGTGCCTCTCGCTGTGCTGATGTGCCTCCCTGTGCTCCTCCTCTTCTCTTCTGCTCCTCCATCACACACAGAGATAAGTGATTGCACAGTGCTCTGCAGGAATGCTCTTGGCGACGGCGGGACGTTGGCTTGCATCCCGTGCCGAGATGGCGAGGCCACTGCGTGTGTGCCTGCGGTGGGAATCACGGTGCCATTGGATGGATGTGTGTGGGACACCTTTTGCATTGTGCTGGAGGCCGGCTGACGCGGCTGCACGATGCCCGCCATGCGTGAAGGTGTTGCCTGCTCTTGGGGTCATTCTTCTCTCCTCGTTGTTTTTGCTTTGCCGTGTGCGTGCGTTGCTCGGTGTGTGCTGACGCGTGACGGACGGTGCCACGATGGCCTCCTCTGGCGATGACAGTCGCTGTGCTCCTGGCACACATCCACACACAATTCCCTGTGTCTCTCTGCGGGAGCTGGATGAGTTGAAGATCGATTACAGCCACACGGACACCCGCACAGTTGCTGCGCCGTACTTCTTCCAGCACTGCGATGCCGCCGGCTGCACGACGTTGTGGTGCCACAAGTACAACAAGTACAACAAGATGCAGTGCATGACGGCCAACCTGATCCGTGTGTGGTTGCAGCGCATGGAGCACGTGGGCCAGTACGCGTTGGGCGCTGCACTCATGTTTGTGGAGCAGAGGCGGCACGACATTGTGGCGCTGTGTGTGTTGGGCGGCCGGGCATGCCGGCGATTTTGAGGGCCGTGGTGGACACGGAGCTGTTTGACTGAGAGGAGGTGGAATTTGCAGCGCAGCGTGAGTGCATGACGGACTGCCTGTGCTGGA